ATTCTATTTTCAAATATCTATTCTATTCCTTATTCTATTCTATTTTCAAATATCTATTCTATTATTTCCTTATTCCATTTCATATTCTAATTCCATTCTAATGAAATTACCCTCACTCGCTCTGTATATAAATTTACACAGTGAAATCTCCCCATTTAAATTGGCACAGGAATCTCATCTTTTCCATTGAAGAATATTTGACTTTCTCTGATCCCTTTCATACTAGTCCTCGGGGCAGAAGGAGAGGACAACAGATGGTTGTTAAGCAAATCTAGCTTGCCCATCGATTTTGCTTGTCAGAAGGTCCCCAAAGGAGAATCACGTAACTCTGGGATGCTGCAACCATCATAAACATGAGTCAGTTGTGCCAAGTGTCCAAGTTCTGAATCCCTGACTGTGGGGGGAGGTTGCAACATTTGTTAAGTGTGAAAAATGAAAACGCTCCTCTGCAATCACGACATAAGCCCGAGATTGAAAAAGCAGACTTGTCAGATTCTGCATCTTTTCTATCCTGCTCTACGGAGTGGAGAGTTGGTGTCTGGACAGAAAATCCCTTAAAGAGACTGGAAGAAGCATTTGAAATGTGGATTTGACGTTACGTATAAGCTGGGAGGAGGAGGTAAGCCCCCTGGGAAAGCCAAGGGAAATCATCAAAACCACAAAAAAGTGAACGTTAGAATATTTCGGACGTGGGATGCAACACCCGGAAAAGTGCAGCATCCTTCACTTAATCCTCCAGGGAAAGATTGAAGGCAAATGAATCTCCAGGCAGAAGAAGAACACCGTGGCTTCAAAATCTAAGGGGCTGGTTTGGACAAAACTCGGCAGCCCTTTTTCGTGTGGCTGTTGATCAAAATAGGATTGCCAACATGATCGCCAATGTCCGATGATGGATATGAAAGGAGGAGGAGAATAGTAGTAATAGTAGAAAAGTAGTAGAATAGTAGTAGAAGAAAAGTAGTAGTAGAATAGAAGAAAAGGAGAATAGAATAGTAGTAGAAAAGTAGTAGTAGAATGGTAGTAGAATAGTAGTAGAACAGTAGAAGAAAAGTAGAATAGTAGTAGAATAGTAGTAGTAGAAGAAAAGTGATA